TGAGTCGTCTCTTCATACCAGTTAACATTTCAATTTGTCATTGTTTCCGATTAACTCTTCCTTGCTTTTTAGAAAGTTCGGTTTGTATTTGACCCTGATAATGGGCTAGTTGTTAGTATACCTCGTACCAGTTAAAAGAAAAACCCTAATCAAACATCTTGATGACTTGCAGATATACACCTGTGAAGAATCAAACCAGCATTCCGGGGCATTTGTTTTCCTACTTGGGCAGCTTTTTGCCAGCATCCCTTTCTTGTTTCTTATCTCCATCTCGTCAAGTCTGGTCTTCTATTTTCTTATTGGGCTGCGGAATGAGTTCAGCTTGCTGATGTACTTTGTGCTGAATTTCTTTGCGTGTCTATTGGTAAATGAGGGGTTGCTACTGCTTGTTGCTTCCATTTGGCAAAATATCTTCTGGACCATCTTAAGTTTTGTGTCCATACATGTAAGTTCTGCCTTAAATCATTGATGAAGTTGACAATAGGTTCGTTGTGTTTCCTTTTGGTGTAATATTGTCATATTCTATTGATTAGAAAATAGGCGGTGATGTTGGTGGCTGTGTTCTTCTACTTTGTCATTGGGTCAATTTGCTGAAAAGGGGAATCGAGGAAGTTAGGCATCTGAAATGTTTGCAATGCTAGTATTAGACAGGATTCTTTTTGTCGGAATGCTATTTAATACCATTTCCTGTTGAGTTGAGACCTAACTTTTTCATTAAACGGCTATCATCTCTTGTGTTTCAGGTGATAATGATGCTTTCCGCTGGTTTTTTTAGAATCAGAAGTGCTTTGCCTGGACCAGTATGGATGTACCCCATGTCTTATATTGCATTTTATACTTACTCTATCCAGGCAAGTTTGAGAATTTGCTTGAATTCATTAAGTGTATATTCTTGATCACTAATTATCTCTCTGAGTAAGGTTAAAAGTTTTCTTTGTACCAGGGACTGTTGGAGAACGAGTACGTCGGAACTTCTTTTGCTGTTGGGCAGGTGAGAAACATATCTGGTTATGAGGCTCTGGAAAATATCTATGAGATATCTGATGACAAGAACGCTAAGTGGAAAAATTTACTGGTGTTGTTTCTTATGGCTGTTGCATACAAAGTTGTTGTTTTTATTCTGCTCAAGTTTTGTATCTGGAAAAACCTCTCTGTCCGCAAACTTTTCCTGTGTAACCAAAATTCATTGAATCGCTGATAGATACTATACTACAGACAACTTTTTGTTTCAGTTTGTTGGGTATCATTGCTTATAGAATTAGCCTCTATTTATAAGCACCTGAAGTCCATATCCTCTTATCCATTCAACCAATGAGTACTGCATGTAAAGATTGGAGCTAATATCGGAATTTGAATTCTCTTATGCATAATTTAAGAGTGAAGGAACATTAGAGCTAATTTGTCTTCTGTAGCATAAAGAATTATTCTCCCTGGTTCAGTTTATACTTTATACCCAGTAATTAGCAATAGGAGGAGAATATTTTTCGCTAAGAAGAGAAAAATATGACTTCTTCCACTTGTGGGCGAATTTTTTTTCTTCTATAAACACTTCAATTTTGATTCCGTATCACTTGTTTCAATTAACACTTGAATATTGCTACTAACTTTAGCTCAAAAATCATGGAAGTTCCTTTTCCGCACGTATCATACACCTTGTACCTTGTATGATTATCATCTGTCATTTACCTTTATACTTAAACTGAATAGCAAAAGTAATTGAGAAAAAGATTTTCTAAAGTATTTTAATTTTTAATAACATTTTCAAAGGAAAACGCGGAATAGTTTAATATAGTGACCTCATTCGAAAAGCGTTTAGACTAATCAACGGGAAAAATAAAGAATTTGGATTCCATAAAGACCTCATTCAACTTGTTCTGAAAAATCATTTACACACCTAAACTTTGCGGGTGTCCTAACACCCCACTATTGTTAAAACAATTGTATTTATTTACTCCCTCCTAAGCCCTGGCCAACCGCGCGTCTTAGACAACCGAATTGAGCGCGTCCTTGCTCTCTTTTAATCGTTGAAAAAACCCAAAAAAAAAGAAAAAAATAAATTTTTAACGTTATTATAACCCCCAACCAACGGTAAAATCCCTTCTTCCCCAATATTTTACCAAACCCAATTGAAGAACCCTAATTTCTTCTTCTTCTTCTTCTTCTAATTTCTGCCGAAATTCCATCAAATTGCCCTTTGAAGTTTTAATCTTTGAAGGCAAAGGTTAAGCTTTCTCCTTCTTAAGAACCCTAATTTCTTTCTTTTATTATTGTTATGTCTTCTCCTAAAATCCAATTATCTGATCTTTGAAAGCAAATGCAAAATATCTGACTTTGATATTGTCTGTTTGTGTTGTAGTTGTTGCAATGCCTTCAAAAGGCTTAGTTTGACAAGGCTTTGCACGGAAGAGGAAGAAAATGAGTCAAGTGGAGAAATTCGATGCAACCATGGCTATGTGCTGCCTTTGTTAACAGCTTGGACCCCTCGGAACCCAGGAAGAAGATATTGGGTTTGTCCATACTATGGGGTAAATGATAGTGAAAATTCTTTCAATAATTGAGTTGTGAAAATTATCATTGATTAGTTTTCTTTTGTTATTCATCTTAGGGTCCACGATCTTGTGATTTTTGAGTTTGGAAGGATTCCGAAATTGATCCTAGGTCCAAATTTGTTATTCCAAAATTGCTTGACAAAATGGGTGAACTTGAGAATGCATTAGAAGGCTTTAAAAATCTTGCCAAGCCGAGGGCAACTTTAAAGGTTGAAAACACCATAGAAGGGGACAAGATGAAGAAGATTGAGGCTCAATTGGTGAAATTGCAAGTTGATATGGAGAAGATGAAAGAGAAGGAAAAGAAGTGGAAGAGTAAATTGGCTAAGTCCAAGGCTAGGGAAAATGTACTTTGGTTCATTATATTGGGGATGTGTATTAT